GATGGACACCCGGGGGCACTGATTGAGTTCAAGTATTTCAACACCGATCGGGGGTTCATTGGGTTTTATTTTTTATTGTCTAATGGAGTTTGTGTTTTGGGATGTTTGATTGGGGAGGATTATGGTGATTTATATAGGTGCACAGAGAGAAATATTCAATTGTAATACCACAAGAGCTTCAAAATTATCGGGTATTTTCCGACAGGTTCGTCGCGAACAAACGAAGGAGTCAAGTTTTTCAGGTTAAAAAATCACGAGTGCGAAGCACGAGTGATTTTTCCTGAAAAACTTGACGACGTCGTTTGTATGCAGGGAACCTTGAAGAAAATGCCCGATTAATTTTGAAGCTCNCGCGAACAAACGAAGGAGTCAAGTTTTTCAGGTTAAAAAATCACGAGTGCGAAGCACGAGTGATTTTTCCTGAAAAACTTGACGACGTCGTTTGTATGCAGGGAACCTTGAAGAAAATGCCCGATTAATTTTGAAGCTCGTGTGGTATTCGGGGGATTATTTTTCCAATCCAAAGGTCGGGCAATATAATTGGACCATGAAACGAAACTCACAATTGAGAAACGAAAATAGGATAATTAATACAACGACACAATTTAATTCAATCTGTCAGTTTGACGAGGGGTTAATTCAACTGCATGATGTTTTGTTTTTTATATAGCAACTATCAGAGAAAATTATCAAAAAATTATCAGTTGAAAACCCTGTAGCTTGTACCACGTGATGTCGAATGGGCCAATTATATTGCCCGATATTTGGGTTGAAAAAATAATCAACAAAAATCAGGCATCTTTTCCGTAATTGCGGAGCGAAATGTGGTTGTAGGAAATTTTTGGAAACTGTCACGCAATTTTTCCGGAGCGTTCCGTAATTTTTATCGGAATCTCCTGGGAAAATTACGATACCGTGGCTTAAAGTTGCTCTACCCTTCGGCCGGGTTATGTTGTACTTTTGGATAGTTTCAGTTTTTTAATTTTTCAACTAAATTGCGTGGAAAACATTTGAAGAAATTCATACCCACTTAGTATTGTCTAAATTAAATTTCGCAAAATATTGATATTTTTTCAAACATTTCCCGCTTATAAATAAATAATAAAACTTTTTTGCAAAATGGTGAATTATTTTTTATGAAGTGTCAAAAAAATTCATGATTTTTTCACATCTAATGAAAAAAAATTCAGATTTTAATCTTTGATTACAATGGAAATTTTCACATAAGACACTGGGTTAAATTCTGATTTTTAAACATTTCTTCTTTGAAAAAACAAAACGATAATTAAATTGAGAACAAATTTGAATTCCGAATCTAATCGAGTTTTCTGCAATTTTTTTGCAGTTTTCAATAATCTTTGAATTTACCGTAAGGGTAGAGCTACTTTAAATTTTCTGAGTCGATTGCGTAATCGGTGAGTGAATTGTGAGTTCCGTAATTTTTACTGAATATTTCTCTCCGTGTATTTAGTGTTGTTTGGAAAACTTGCGTTCAGCAATTTTTGGCTCAATTTGGGATTTTTACGAATGTTTCCAGTTTATCAACTTATTTATTGGTACTTCAGACTTAGTGTTTCTAGGGTATTTTCAAAAATCGCGGGGCAAAACGGGTTGTATTGAGGTTCGTGTCTTTTGTAAATAATCCGGAAAGTTACCGTTTTCAAACCCTCATCAAACGCACATTTCAAGGCGGTAATTATCGAGATATATCGATTCTAAATAGGAATATTTCATGATTTTTTCTTTTCATTTTTTATTCGATAATTCATGTTAGATCATGTCTGAATCCACGGTAACACTTTCCTACGTTTTTTTTTTAATGTATCGATTCCAGTATCATAAAAATATCGAATATATCGCAAATATCTCGAAAGCCTCCTCAGTCTATTCTCACGTCCTCGAGGCGCGCGGGAACACGCCGTCACCCTAGCCAAGTTGAACCCGCACCAGTTCCTAATTCACGCACCCGAATATTTTCATTTTAAAAACATATTATAATCCGAATGAGTATTTTTAAAAAATAAATTTAAAAAACGAATCACTCCGAAATTACCACGCATCTCATCAAAATTCTTCTTCATTTGTATTTTCAGATTGTCTACGAAGCCGTAAGAGACATCTCCACTGGCGAGGAGCTCCTGATGGGTCCAAGAGAGCCCCTCCAACTCCAGGACATGCGAGAGAACACGACTGAGGACAGGAGCGATCGCGAGACCGGTGAGTGAAATTTAATAAAATCAAATTGATAAATTGAAATTACCGCACGTGCGACGGTTCAAACCGGATATGGAGTCGAGTGTGACACTCGGTCCTTCCGATACGCATCAAAGTCGCTGGTACTCGTGTGCATACGATTATCCAGAGGGCAGGTGAGGGTTAATCGAGATTCGTGAAGGCCTGATGTGAGACTGACCCATGCAGGGGTCGTTATGCTTAGGTGACTCTGGTCGTGATTCACCTGGACGTTACGTTGAGTGGGTGGTGCTAGTTGCTCAACACGTACTGATTATCTCCGCATTGTGAGGGGCACGAGCCAATTCCCTTTGATCCCGGTGGACTGATTAGCTCGGCTAATGGGGAATTTTAACCCCCGGGGGCGGGGGTGAATCATTTTTGGGGGTGAAAAAATCGAAGATGAAAAAAATTGTATTTTCAACAGGGATTTAATATGATAATTTTTGCTGCTGAATGGAAGCTTAAATGTGGGCATTGTTGAGCCCTATCAATCGCCATTAATCAAAATTTAATTCATCGATTAGTTTTTTAATTTTCGAATTTTTTCGAAAATCCGTTGTCCCACGATAACTAAAACAAATGTTCTGAATTGATTGAATGATGGCTTAAAAAATTTGGCTGTCCATTTGACCGAGTCCGAAGATGAAGGCGATAGCAATAATCGTTATTTCGATTTATTTGAAAATTTGCAAAAATTTTGTATTTTTTGAAAATCAGAATTCCGGGGATATCTTTGAATATCATGCTTCAAATGAATTCAATCATAGCTTAAAATGTTTGTTTTAATGCCATTAAGTCGAAGTTGAAAGATGATTCCGATAGCTATATTGGTTGATTTGATTTTTATGATGATTGTTGAAAATTTCGAATTTTTCATGAATTTCCCTGAAAGTGACCTTTCTGATGGTTTTTCCAAATGTGATGTTTCAAATTCATTCAAGTATGTATAAATAAAATTGTTCTATTAACATATTATCGAAGGGCTGAGGGGAGAGATAGAACCGTAAAAAAGACAATCGGTTGTATAGAAGAAAGGGATAATAAGAATAATGATGATAATAACATTCAACTGAGTTGAAAATCTGCCAAAATTAGTTGAAATCTTATTCAATTTAATAAAATGAAATAAACAATGAATTACACATGATAGGAGGAAATGATGTGCAAAATAACCATTCGGAAGCATTTTGTTAATTTATTAGCAAAAATAACTATACACTATAAAATACAAGAGCAATTTCCAACTTGTTTTCATTTTTATACAGTTTTTTTATAAAGAATTTATCGAGATAGATGGTAAATGAAGGTCAATACGTAAGAAATTCTTCAATTTTATAATTTCAAAAGAAAGTTACTTTGACTAGTCTCACGCCGCGCCTCTCGGACGTGAGAATAGACGAATGAAATGATAGCCTCGGCTAGGAGTGTGACGAGCTTTCGAGATATGACGTCGTGCCGTGAATATTCGAAAAGAATAAAGTTCATAATCAATTGAACATTAACAAGGATAGTTCATACATTTTTATGAACAAATTATTGAAATAGATCATTTGGACTTCAATTCGTCAAAAACCTCCCAATTTCATGATTTTATTTATTTCGAAAAAATTATTAAAAAATACTACACTGGAGTAAATGAGATTAATTATCGGAGGTGATCAATACTTTCTTTGTTTTTGGAAACTTTTGTGTTGAATTCGGACAATTTCTATTATCCATGTTTCATTAATTTAACTTTTTTTATCAAAAATTTTATTTATTTTATTTATTTATATAAATGCAAATCCAACAGCCGAAGCCAATAATGGGATTCAATAGGTAAGGAGATAATTATCCACAATAATAATAAAATGTGAATAAATAAATAAATAAGTAGTAGTTTTTTTAATTTGACATAAATTATCGAATAAAAAATTTGAAAATTCTCTGAAATCTCTTTTATCCAGGCTTTTGTCTTTGAAAAAAAATCCCGAGTTCTTTCTTTTTCAACTAAGACATTTGAATTTGTCGGATGGTTTATAAACCCCAACTCGATGACAGTTATCATAGTTGTAACTCTCTTACGACTACCGGTGAATGGGGTGGGATGAAATGCGACAGCCAGATGTCGCGAGTAATTAAAACTCGGATTATTGTCCAAGTTGAATCGCACGCCTCGTGACTGTATACTACCCCAACTTAAAAGAGAAAGAATATCTTCAGATTGAGAAGACAGTTCGGGGGAGGCACAGCCCCAACCAACCGGCTTCATTCGCGCAATTTCAGTGGCAATTACTGCGTCGATAACTCGAAATTATGTCCATTCATTATTAATCGCCTGAATAATTAATTACAAATTAAACAAAACAAAAATTAACAATTATGAATAATTAATGAGTATATAATTATCTAAAATTCGATATTAATCATTAATAATCATTTTTTAATTACTATTCACATTAACAATGAATGAATTTATTATCATAAACAATCATATATTGATTATTAACAATAATTTCATATTTATAATAATGATTATTAAATTTGCATTTATAATTAATTATTATTTTTATTTATTATGATTAATTAATTGATCAACTATAATAAATTAACATTTACTATTAATTCATCATTTTTATTGTTTAAAAAATATAAACAATAAAAATGTAATTATAATAATAATTACATTCACATTTATATTTTTTAAGGTAATTGTAATTATTTTTTTTTACAAATTTACACAAAATAAATTATAATTATAATTTATTTTGTTTATAATTTTTTTTACAAAAGGAAAAATAAAGAAAATTTAACTCAATTCAGACTGCGATGTCCGGAAATCGTTCGGAATTATTTAGGGGATGGAAAGTCACGAGCCAACCTGGGCCGGAAATGACCTCGACTGGGTTCCGGTTAAATGTTTACGTGTAATTATGGACTACTGTTCGTCCCATGCAAGTGAATAAAAGGGAAAACAAATGGGGGTTAACGGATAAGTGAAAGCTTCAGAAATCAAACGGTTGAAATTTTTTACTTCGATTTTTTTTAACCCCCGGGCTTCATTGTCTTGGCATCTTTCTCATGTCGAGGGGGTGAATTCCAGGGGGCACTGAGATATGGGCGAGGTCTAAAAGGTTAAGGAGCACTTTTATGGGACATGAGCAGTAGTGAAACTCGCCGGAGCAATTACGTCGAGGCTTAGTGGGCTATGTTAATTCTGGGAAATTAATTAAGAGCTCCAGGAGGTGTTTATTAGCGGAGGAGGGGGAGAGGGGTTGTTGGAAATTGTGGGAGTCAGGTCATTGGTAATTTCAGTTAAATTTTTAATGAGAAGATTTTATGATTTATTTCGATTTTTGCCCTTTTATTATGCTCTTTTTCCCGTTAGATTCGATATTCCTTTTTTCAATTTATTGTTTATCATCATTCTCATTGCAAAAAGCAATACGACCGATGAGAATCATATGTCTCAATTTATCAGCTATTCAATTTTCATATTACAACAAATGATTTGTTCATGTTCTAATTCCTATGCTCACTGAATAACATTTTAGTCATAATTACAATTAAATTCCTCCTAGAACACACTTTAGAGTGTGAATTTCTGGAATTCAATGTTTGTTGATACTCTGGTAAAAGTGCGGGGCCACACTGTTCTCAATTTTTAGTTAGTTCACACGGTAATTCAATTAATCTGTTGTTCATCTCATCAGTATAATTCCGTGCTTAGAATATTGCCATCTCGTGTTTTCAGCCCTAAATTAAAAATTAAAACTTCATTTGGAATATTGAGTGACAGCGTCTTTTTATTCATATCAGAAATTTTGTATTTGGATATTAATATTATTTGTTCAAAGTGAAAAAATCGATCATCATTTTCACTATATTGCATTCAGATTCTCCTATCCTTAACGTCAAAAATGTGAGATAATCTCATAATTCTAGCTATTAATTCTAATCAACTTTGTTCGAAGAAAACCTTACTAAACGCAATATTAAGAAAGTTGAATTGTTCTATTTTCCTCTGACCTGAATGATTTGGACAATGATTCGTTTATTCATGTTCCATAGAATGGTATTCAATTCGCTTTTGTTTGTTAAGCGGGCTTCATGAAAATTCGACGCAAGACGATTGTACTCATGGAAACGGCCTTACTTTCTCCATTCGTTCGAGATATTGCCCCTGTGTTTTTTTAGAACGGATGTCAACCCTTCATTCAGTTAATTATGCATGAAATAACTTGTTCTAATACCATTTTATCGAAGTTACGAAACAATGTAGATAGCATTATTCTTTCATTTGATTTATACAAGAAATTTTACGAGAAATCAAACACAATTGATCAATGACGACATATAATTCTCCTCCTACAATTGATATTTTCACTGTCTGAGAGGCTAATGAGTTTTAAAGGTTTTGTCCGCTTGCAAATAATCATAAAAATATGTTTTATGACTACCACTGTTGGGATGAGAATAATGATGTCAAACAAACGACATCTACCTTTTGTCGCTCGCCTCCCCCCCAGCATCTGCTCAACTCCAGCAGGATCATTTTTTTGTCGGTGAGGCTTGTACACACGGCAGAATCAGTTTAACACGCCTACGTGGGGTGGAAAACATACAATGGGGGATTCAGATGACAAATAAACCTCAGATGCCATGCTCAAACCATCATGAATATTTTTTTTATCATTTAGAAATCATCAGCACTTTTATTCATTTTTATTCGCAATGAAGGAATTTGAATTTGGAGGAAAGGACAGAATCCAAATTTTAGAATAATTAATAAATGTAAAAATTTTTCAAATTATCTCTTCGCATTACTCTAAAAATTTCTGTCTTCAAACACTGGTCATGTGGTTCCTTCCGATATAATACTTCTCGAAATATATTGTAGAATCTTTATATATTGCAAATCCAAATTTGAAAATTTTTATTATGGGTCTCCCGAACTCGATTTTTCCATCTTATGAGAAAACGGTTCTTACGATGTTCTTGAA